AGTAATCTTGCTCTGGTGATCTGTAGCAATAGCCAGATCAATTGTCCTTGTGGTTTTCTTATGTTTGCTGGTTTTCATGAACTGCTTTCTTTCAGGTTTATTATTATAGATTTACAGTAAATCTAACTTATGTGGAATTCTTAGAATCACAATTTTGATGTTAATTCTTGTGCAGCTGAAGAAACTTCAACTGCCCAAAGAGCTGGCTCAGCCTGTTGCTGTTCTGTCTTATCTGTCAGTTTTGAAATTGTGAAAAACACAACCTTGTCCCTTCCTACAGACTCTGACATTTAAGTAGGCAGTGACTGTTCATTTTAAATTAATCTGAGGGGTAGGAATTTTCTGAGTAAATTATGGCACTGGAAACCAAAATTATTTTTTTTAAATGGGTTTTGTTTGGGCTATTGTTTTGTTGGGGGGTTTTGTTTGGGGTTTTTGTGGGGTTTTTTTTGTTTGTTTTGTTTTGGGTTTTTGTTTGGTTTTGCTGTCATGGAATATTTATATATATCATGATGTATCTGTAGACTGATGTGAGAGCAGAAACATAAGCAGGAAGAAATTTTCAGTGAGATAATTTAGAGCATTTTCTATCAGAAGCTGTTGTATATTTGGACATCCACCTATATGATCAGGAATGTGTGTATCTGCAGTGTTTTTTCAATGGATCTTGGTTAGTATCTTGGGTACATAGATATGTTTCTATCCATACAGAAATATTCTGGAAACTTATAACCAGCTTCCAGCTTGCAGCTCTGTCCCTGTACTACCTGTTTCCTTCCTACTTCTTCCTCTGAACTGAACCTGCTTCTTTGTTGATGTTTGATATATCACTGGAAACAAAAAGAATGGCTCCTCTTCAGGCAAACAGTAAAACGTAAATACCAAAAAAATAAACCCAAAACATTAATTGTTTAGTTGAAGCCATTTTCTGTGCCTGAAACTATAAATTTGAAGTCATACTTTGTCAGCACCTTGAGGCATGCCTTTATCTTAGCACAGCGTGTCCCCCACATTGTGTAGTACCACTTGCATCATGTCAGAAAGTCTGGGAATAGCAGTGATCTTTCCCAAAGGCCTTATTGTTTTGAAGCATTGAAAGTTTTTTCCCTGCCTCAGAAAATTCAATACCAAGGTCCTCACAGTATGCAGAAAAATTCCTAGTGATATGATTCTAACACTGAAAGGAAGCAAAGTGGCATATATTATTTTATTGGCTACCAGAGAAAAGGTTGTCTTTAAAAATATATGTGCCTTTTACATATGTTTTGTGACAGACATACAGCCTGAAGACTGGCACATGGCAAAGGGAAATCAATAAAAAATGCATAATGATATTATAAATATTTATAAAATAGCTAGAGGAATATAATATGACAGGGAGAAGCCAAGAAGGCTTTCAGAATAGCAAATCTGTACTCTAAAATATATTGGAATTGTTCTGAGTGAGTTACAGTGTGGTAAAAAGTCATTGCATAGGCAGTGCACAGGCTATCAGGGATGTTCACAACTCTTTTATCAAAAGTTCTTTTAAAAGCAACCATGAGAAGTTCCACCAAAAAGTTCAGCTAGATAATTGTGGACAGAAGAAAAAGAAAATATTTTTCAGGAAGCATGAATTGATGGTGCCAGTGTAGAAACTTGTAGGCATTGTTTGATTGATTGATTGATTGATTGATAACTTAGGAAAGCTTTCCAATGGGAATAAAAGTGATCCAGCTTTATTCAAAGACTAGGAATTTTCCAAGTCTGCTAGAAGATCTTTTAACTATATTTTTTTATATAACTGCCTGTTCACATAGTTGTGCACATGTTCATACTTAGAGAGTAAGTGATGTCTGTAAGACTGCAAGGTTTGTAAGCATCAAGTAGAAAAAAAAGACGGGGGAAGAGTTAGGTTCCTTAAATGCAAGTAAAAATTTCCTATAGTCATCCTCCTTTCCTGTAGGCTTGTACGTCATAGGCCTTCTACATGGCTGATTCTTCTACAGGAGGACTTTGACTGTGGGACTTGACTCCATTTTTTCTCTGTGTTGATGTAAATATCAAGAATAAGCTGGAGGTTTTGTAGAGAGCAATTTATTCTTTTCTGCTTTTGCTGCAGATGGTTGAATTTTCTCAGCCTGCAAGAGCTGCAAAAGTACACAGTGAAAGAGAAAATTATACTAAAAATGGAAGAAACTATGCAAGAGAGAAACTTGTTCTGCCTTTAGCAAATGGCTCACAAAAGTTTCTTCAGTGGAGACATCCATATCTGGGGATATTGCTGCTGATTTCTTGCTTACAGAAACCTCTTTCCCATTAGTCCAAACAGAGCACAATGTCAGTAATGGTTGGGTCAGGATGCTAATTATCCTTGTGAAAAATAGGTGGGCAGATAGTCCAGGAGATAGATGTTTCCTAATTTGATAAGGGCTTTTAAAGATAAATGGCCTTGAAGTAGATTTGTTTTCAAATGAATAGCCAGTAGAGTGCTCGGAGCAGAGGCACAGTGAGCTCTCATCAGTTTTTCTCAGAGAGATGAATGTTGTGTATTCTGTCTGTTGACGTGGTCTTTGCCATCAGATGTCCCAATTTATTAATAGTTTTTAGGGCAATGGTTGTAAATTATTGTAGCCCAATTTTATTACTGTTTTACATCTACTGTGGACTGAGCCTTGTGTGCAGCTTTATATTAACTCAGCAGGAACCATTAAAATATTGACATTTAGGCTCATTTTAGCAGCATTAATCATAGCATTTTTTCATGCCTTAATTGTATGAAATGACTGGTTTGAAATTACTGGAGTGTTCACTTCTCTAAAAGCAGATGAAACAATAATTTCCATTTCTCTACTTTTTCAACCCATAACTGCACTTTAAAAAACCCAAACAACCCTAAACACATAACCCCCCTGTTTCCTAACTGTGTGCTGTGGGTATCTACTTCTTGGCTTCTTTGTAGCAACTGAACATGTAAGACCCAGCACCTCTTATGAGGCTCACTGGAAGCTCTTGGAAGTGTCACCTCTGAAAATCAGCCTCTGAAATCTCAGTGTGGATACCTACAGGCAGGTCTTGGCTTCAAAAATGGACCCTAATATATATAATAAGAGTATTCCTGATGTTTTAATATGCTGAAATGGCTTAAGGGTTTAAAAGAGGCACAGAAATGCCTTTTGTGATTCACCAGCAAGAAAATGCTTACAGCACCCATGGCTGCTTGTATTATTGTACCAGTAACAGAATCTGTGATATTTGCTGGCTCTTTTCAGTGGAGGGCATCACTAGATGATTATGTTTAATAAAAGGAGTTGGCAGCCTTTCTCACTTAACAATCATTAGAAGATCTGCTGCTGAGGTCCCATTTTGTGAGGCAGCTGGAAATTGGCCCTTAGTTTGAATGTATTGTTTTCTACCTTTCCCTTAAAGTTCAAGGACAAGGCAAAACTGTTCAGACTACAAAAAGAAAAAACTTTTTCTCGCTTTCCTTTGTTTACTTGGTCTTTCCACCACTCCCTTTTTTACGTATGAAAATTTATTCCCGTATATATACATGAATTAAATGGAAGTGAAGACAATGTTAGCAAAGATGGAAGGAGAAGACTTGAGGGAAGATATTTGAAAGCACCAGGCAGAAGGTAGCTATATAATCATGACTTTTTACTGGAGTAAAAACCATCTAGGTCTTCATTTATGTTTCTCTTTATACTTATGAAGAAAGACAATCCAGTTGCTTCTGTTTTAGAAAACTGAGGCATCAAATGGGTCAGTGGGGAGGGAAACCCTAAATCACTCAAAAGGAAAGGTGCAGAAGATGCTGAATAGTGGTATCCCAGAAAATTTCATTCTTCTAATCATGCATTTAATTAATTATTTTAAAGATTGCCCCTCCCAACTCCCATCCCTAAATGTTCTCTCAACTTCAGCACTTTACCCAGCTGTATTTTCCTTGATAACATGATATGGCTTAAGCCACAGGCTTCTACCGTAGCCTGCTGCTTCTTGCTATTCTGGATCTTCTCAAAAAACTTTATAGTGACAGAGGTATTCTTTTTTCAGTAACAGTGGCTTCATATGACCAAATAATATTCATTAACTTGATTGCCTAAGGATATCAAGCTCCAGGGGAAACTTGTATTCCTATATGATTGGCAAGATAATTAGGAAGTGAAATAATGCAAATCCCACTGCAGGCAGCTGTCAAAGATTTACCTATTTATTCTTTGAATTCAAAGTGTGTCATATCATGCATCCTTTTATGCTTTTAAGGCTTTTCTAACGGTAGGTTTATTATCGACCTTCACCGGGCACGTTTTGCAGGGGCAGGAGGAGGCTTTATGAGCTCAGTCAAGTTGGGCTGGTAAATCCACTGAGATTTTTAGTCTGCAGTATCACCTAGATAACTCAGGCTAAAGTACACTTTTGCTTTTACTTTTTTGCTTTTACTACTTTTTGCTTTTACTAGCTTTTGATTTTAAGCTCCTGGGTCATGGTGTTTAATTCTTTATTTTTAAAGTATCTACCAATATTAGAGCTTCTACATGATATGAAAACACAGGCACAGAAGCCACTGATGGCAGCAAGAGTTCTGCATCCTTCAGGAGGGTGGAATATTGGATTTAGGTTAGAGACATCTTTTATATAGTCTCCTCCAGCCTTCCCCATTAGCAGAGACCAGGGTGAAGCTCATATTAGTAATTGCTGCATCCAGGCAGCAGTAGCAAGTGGGAGATTAAATGAGAGAGCTGTATAGATGTGGGGTCCTGTTGAGGATGGCCTTCAGTAAGTAAAAGTCACTCATAAATTAAACATTTAGCAAAACCCTACCAAGTAGAATGTATCTTACAAAGTTCTGACAGTTTCTCGATCTGAAAGTGGTAAAACCTGAGAAGCAAGGAGATTAGTGGAGTTGCTCTGATGCGGTTGGACTAAAATTAATCTGGCAAAAATAATTTTTTTTTTAAAAGGACGAAAAAGAAAATCCATATTCTTGCTAATGAGAACCAACATTTATCTTACAGGGAACCTGAAGTTTTGCCTTCTGATTCTGAACCAGCCTTTCAACAAAGGTCATTTTCATTGTCTCTGGAGCAGAGGTAATAATAAGTTATATATATCTTCATTTGCTTACTTTCTTAGCTGTCACCCAGCTAGTGTACTTCATGTCTGTTGAATTGCAGGGTTGAAGTTTCCTCTTTACTAGAGCAACCTTCTGGTGAGGGTATGAATTGGCAGAGTATGTCCCTTGTTGCTGAATGCAGCAAATGAGCTGATTATGCAAATTCTGCATCCCTGCATTGTGCACGCATTGTGCACTGATCTGTGTAAGACTGTAGCTTTTCAGAGGCTTCTTAGGAATGATCATTGTTTTGCTGACAAAGTGTAGCAGATCAATGGTGCATTTAAGAGTTTGGAAGTGAGCATTTCTTTAAAGGTCATCAGTGAAATGTGTTAAATTTAATCAAAATAAAATGAACTGTGTAGATATTGAGTTGTGAAAGTGGTGGGGAATTTGCGTGCTCGTTAGAAATATGCAAATCAGATTTCACTACCCCTTCATTAAATATGCACAGTGCTAATCATCATTTCTGGTATGATAGCTTCAGATTTACTGACATTTTGTGGAGATATGTAAATCTTTACAAGCTTGGAGCTATTAATTCCTCCATGCAGGAACATAGCCCTTCAGAAGCTTTCTGAAAAGCCACAGGAACTGTCTCTAACTTATTCCCAGGATGGGAATCTTGCAGAGAGATTCTTCTTAACTGACTGGAGCTGATAGAGCTATTTGGTTGCACCATAGGCTTAAGGACTGGCAGGGGGTAGCTGTACAGTTAAGAGGAATTGAAATAAGGGATGAAGTGAGCAGGATGTATTCATAGCACTTAATTCCAGTAAACCCAAATTAGGTACCCATATAGCCAGAGGAGTGATAAAAAAAGGAAGAGAGTTGTACAAGATTATTCAAAGCTTCTGAGCAAGTGTTGTACCCCAAACAGACTCACTTTCATTTGCATAATCAGCAAGAAAGTAACAAGTGCTCAGTGGAAGGGCTGTCCACTTATTTTATAGATGTGATTCTACATATTTTTTCAATTAAAAAGATACACTGAAACACCTGGTTTGTATTAGAGGAAGAAACAAGGTGAAGCATTTGATCTTATTTTTTTGTCCCACCTTTCCTATTTTCAGGATTGGGGTTAAAAAAAGACACAGTAAACAAGACATGCACAGTTTCTGAATGGCAGTATTTAGTGTCTTATAGTACCTTGCATGTGTTGCTTTTGTGCTGTATTTTGTTGATCAGACTTTTTTTTTTTTTTTGTCAAACCTTGGGGCATAGAGTGCTTCTTATTGTAACACTAATGAGCCTTTAAACTGTAGTGCTTCTGTAAAGGGTTGAAATAAGAAGCTGAATAAAACCAAGTAGGCCAAAGACTCTCTTATACAAAGCTACCTCAGTGGGTTCCTGTTCTCTGAGCATGTGTTGAACGTGATCACTAGTGCTTTAAATAGTTTTCCGAAGAGTTTGTGGGAGGAGAAGAAGTCTTAATTAAGCTACTAAGACTTTTCCTGGTAGATTACTTTAAGAAATAGGTGGAACTTTTCTATCTAAGTAAAATAACAGAAGGAGGTAGTTACTGTATGTTATGTAGTTACTAATGGTAAACATGAAATGTTTTTCTTCAAGCATCTTAGCTTCAGCAAACTTTAGTGAATCCAGGACACAGTTTTGGTAATGCCTGGCTTACAGTGCTAGTGGACTACTTTAGTTGTCAGCAGTTTTCTGGATCCTGCTTCTGAAGGAGTGTTAGCACAGAGACTGTTACATGACTAGGAGAACCCGGGGGGGTTGGTGTGTGAACTGAAAGAAGTTCTGAAGGAATCATCCTTAGGAACAGTGCTTGATGACCAGCTGTATATGCTTGAGATATCATAAAGGAGAAATAAGAAGGAAATAATAGGGCTGTTAATCCACAGACTATTGCCAGCTACACAAACTCGGGTGGAAAAGGAGAGAGAAATGCAAAAGAAAAATAAGATAAAATACTGTCCCACTTCTTTGAGTTGCAGGAATCTTGGGTTGTTGTGCTCAGTACAGAATGCTGAGATGTGTTATTTTCAAGTAGATTGTGTCTTATCAAAGTAACTTCTTTCATTAGTCCTGTCAGTTTAGTGTTAAATAAAAAGTAGTGTGAAATGTGACACCATTGGTGGTGAAATGTCCTAAGTTTTAAAAAAAACAACAAAAAACCATCAATAAGTGGCTATTCTAGGCTAAAATCATCCCAGGTGTAATTCCTCTTGACCTCAAGAAGAAGTGGTTGCAGCTAATTAACCTGTGTCTTATTACACACATTTATGAAATCTATTTTTACTGACATACTTTCAAAAGAACTATTTCAGTCAGTACAAGTTTGCATGAACTTCTTTCCTTGTGCTTTGTGAAGGACATTGAAATCAGATTTCATCACTTCCAAGAGACTTATTTTTCCATTCTTGCCATACAAGCTGGATAGGTGACAGTAGTGAAGCAGTACAAGCTAAGGACTATATGATTTTAATCTATTATATATCATCACTGTATTGTATGATGATATTATATATCATTACTGTAATGAATCAGTCTAGAATTTGTTCACTTGATGTTTGATACACTCATGTAGTACATACATTAGTGCTGTTCTAAAAGCAGGATGGATGAAATGTTGGAGAAGGGATAGTTTGCAAAAGCAGGATGAAGACTAATATGGCAGAAAACACTGGTTGTTGCCTGAAGGATTTATTGGGTTGCATGTAATGAGAAGGGGAAAAACCAAATGGCAGGAGAAATTAAAGAGAATAGGTCAATAAAGGGGGATGGAAGGTAATGTGGAAAATATGTCAGAAGAGTGAGTGCCTGCTTTTCTCAGAGCTGTACATTTTTCTGTCTGTGAGTTTTCTATAAGGAAGACTGGATCCAGTAGACTTTTTCTTAACAACATTTTCATGCATCCTAAATTCCTGCTTATGCAAAGTTTCTAGCTCCTGGTTTGAATCCTGTTTAATAAAAAAAAAATATGATTTTGAAAAAAATCCACTTTGAATTAGTGTCTGGGGCTACTTCTCAAGTGATTTCAAATGTAAATATATCTTTCACAGAATTGACTGTGAGTTGAAAGTCTGAAGCTGTCTTTATGTTAAGTTTGGAAAGTACAGAAGCCCAGGTTTTAGTGGCTGAAAAAAGAATGTGCTTTCTGGGAAAAATTTCCTATGATTTTCAAAGTTCCTATGATTTTGATTCTGCTTTTTAAAATCTCTTTAATCAGAAATGCAATGATTTACTTATGCCAAGAATTTCAGCTATGTCTAGTGATTGTAAGTGCTCTGATTTTTTGATATCTCCCTAGGGAAGAGGCAGAATTATTGCAGTGCTGAGAAATTACCTCAGTGAAAATTGTCTTAAGTTCAGGATCTGAAAATGGTTGCTTGTTTTTGAAAACATCACACCTACAAGTTACTCAAATGACCCAGAATTTCCTTATGTCCCTGTTTCATGGTAGGACGTTGAGTGGCTGTACATCGCAGAGTACTTTCCACTCTTAAATGTTGACAATGACAGCTGTAAAGAACAAGGAACTATGCTCTGGAAAATAGGATTATTATTTAAAAAGTCAGAGTGAAATATGAAGTTGTGCTTTATAGTAGGAGAATGTGTCCATGGGTATTTTTAAGTTCTCATAATGGTTGTGATACGCTGGCCACTGTGCCTTTCTCAAAAAGATTTTGATTTCTTTCCACAAATACACACTTTCCATGAAAGCTATTAATCAAACAAAACATGTTAAACAACTTGAAATATTAGCCATTGATACTACCAAATGTCCTTAGCCAATGTATTAGAATAATACCAACCAACATCCCTTTGGAATGGGCTGACTGAATCCTGACTTGTAGGAGCTGTGTTTAACGTTGGATGAGTCAATAGAAAGGAGACATCTATGAAACCAGGCTGAAAAGATGTCTGGCCTTCATGTGCACATCCCTAAATAGACTCTTCCATGGGCCAGTCTTTCCAGTGAAGGAACTTGGGTTCTAGTTCTGTCTTCTTACACTGCTCTACAGACAACATGACCATCCACTTCATCTGCATAATATATAGGCATTCTATGACACCTTGAAGATCATGAAAATGGAGGAGCTCCAGAAAGAGGAATGTTGCTCACCCTGGAGACTCCAGCTCTATATTGTGGAGGGGATCTATGTATTGAGAAACCATTCTTCTATGGCAGCAGTTAGTAAGTCAAATCCAAAATGTGTTAAATTGTCTTCATGTAAACGGTGTTTTCTCAGACTATTTATATTGTGATGGCTTATCCATAAGCTGAGTTTTTTGCAATTTTCCATCTCTATGAATACCCATATTGGGACAATCAAAGCAGCTGTTACATTCTAAATCTTGTATTGAATGTCAGGCAACTTTCCTGTCAAGGCCAGCCTACTCTTTGATGAAAATGCTGATAAGGAATGGTTGATTAGCACCTAGAGGTGACTGTGGGTTACAAAATATCTCTCCTCACTAAATAATCAAATCAGAAAAAAATTTATTTGTATGACCTATTTCCAAGTCATCTGAATGCCACATGCTTCCATACATTTTATGTTCCATGTGCTTTTATCTGCAATGTAATTGGTGATTGATATTTTGAATGTCTTCAGTTGAGGTCCAAGAGCTATTATAGAGGGAAATAAGATACAAGTGGCAATACGAAGTTCAGGTATCAGTTCAGATGTACAGAGGGGAAGGTAATAGATCAGTTGGAGCAGTTTTAATGCCTCAGAGCAGAAGAAAGGATATTGTAGTTTCATAAGAAGAGGGGAAATAACCTGACTTTCCCTGATGCTATTTTTTTCCTTCTTTATGATTGATACCTTTTCCTTTAGTCTTTAGGGGTTGAACTCATCAACACTTCCAGAATTATTAGTATGTGCAGCCATTCACTTGCCCTTTTACCTGTCATCAATGAGCTTGCCTTGTTGGCATATGGTGAGCTTTTTTTCTCACCTTTTATTTTCATTTCTAGCTGAACTTACTTGTAATATATCTCAAATTTGT